AATTAATTAAAGTGATAAATTAAAAAGAAAAGGATTGTACGGGCTTTTGGAGTGTAGCTTTGATGCTCGCATTTATTGGTCATGTTTGGGGTATAAACGACCAATAATGTAATGGCGTTTTCTCAACGAGGGAAACAAAAAAATATAAATAAATGTGGAAAACTTTTTTTTGAAAACATAAATAAACCTACTTTAGCATATTAATTTTGAATTAGGAAGATTGTTGTTAGCTATATTTAATCTTTAGGGAAATACTGTATATTTTTTTAGATAAACAATCATATTTTAGGAAGATTGTTGAAAGCTATTGTTTAAATGAACAGCTGAATACTAATTAGGCAACTGAATATATTTTACACAACACAAAGTGATATAAAATAATACTTTTCTTTGTTCCATGAAAATTGATGTGGGATGACTTCTTTACAAAGTCATCCATTTGTTTATGCATTGACAAATTTCCTAAGTGTAGTTACATTAAGATATGTATATATAGATACACTATTTATAAAAAAAAAGTTATGAATTTATTTTTGAGTCGTGCCATACAATACAATACATACAAAGTAAAACTGTTGGTTTCAATTTGCCGCATATATAAAAGTATTTATTTTGATGTTTTTAAGTTTTATCTTACTTTAAATTTAAGTTACTAATTTAAGGAATGTTACAGTCTCATGGAGAATGATTCCTTCAAATTAATATAAGTTATAAAATCTTATAGTTTTGATATGAACTCTTAAATGTAATCAAACATTAGTAATGTGGCGGTTTCTTTATTGGAGTTTAATATAGGGGAATGGTCTCGTTACGGGATTCTAGCATTTTCTCTAATTTAAATTTCAATTTGAAACCATTATATTGTCCATTTAAATGATAATTAGAAAAAGAAACATATTAAATTAATTAATATAACCACACTAATCATTCAATAAATTATTTAAATTTATTTGACTTGATTTTCCGTAAGTGACATATACAATGTAACAAAAAAAATCAGAAATATGGATGGACTAATGATTAATGAATACATTTGTATTTACTTAATACAATCGTCATTAGTATTTAAGTCAAAATCCCTAAATTTAATTCTCTAAATTTGACCCTTTTTGTTTTTTTTAATACCATTTTCTCTGGATTCATTTGTTATAAAGTTTCTTATTAGAAATATAGCATCAGGACCTATAATTGAATGTCAAGAGCATCTCAGTTTAGAGCATCTCCAATGCTCAAGAGCTTCTCAATTTAGGAATCAAATAATATGGACATTCTATTGAGTTGGACTATAGTCAAATGGACAACATATTCTTAAATTAAGATTTTTGGCGGGGTTTAATTTCGGCAGGCATTTCCCTTCCCAGGATTGTAATGGAGAAGTACATTATTGTTAACTGTAAAATATTAAAAAAAAACTGTAAAATATTTAACGAGTTATTCATAATTCGTAAAATAATGGAAATTCTTAGTATCATTATTTACCTAGTCGAGTCGATAAGGTTAATAAGAAATAAAAACATCAAGTTACGATAAAGGAATGTGAATTTCTTGAAAACTTCACCTAGTAACTTCAC